AGATTTGCAGTACAAGACGACCTGGCTGCAGTAAAACACTGTTTTCCAGCTTCAGTATGAATATGAGGTGAAGACCAGAGTTAGGTATGGAGTGCCCTTCACTGTTACAGGCTTCAATGCTATGGAGGTTTTGCAAGCGGGACAATTGCACAGGCCTGGCTTGAAATGGTTCGATTAGGAATTTCTGAGGCAGCCTTCTGATGTTATGGGTGATTTCTGCATGCAGCTTCATCTCTGCTGAGACACCTAAATAAGCAATGAGGAAACACTGCAGAAGCTGCTGACATCCTTCCCATTAGACAGGTTCAGCTGGGATCAGCATCGGCCTCAACCCTGTCTGGAAAAGGGCTCTGTACAAATACCAAGCAATCAGCCAGCAAATGACAAGCAAGACTTACACATCTAAATACCCTAGAAAGAAAGAGCCAAGAGAAGAGCAGAAAGAGCTGACATTTCCCTGTCCCTATTACAACTACAAAAGCCGTTCCTCCTCCTTCCAGATCCTGCTGGCTTTCCATGATCAGGACACATTGGCTCTGCTATGGCTCCCAGTACTCCCTATGAAAGGTTTCAAGCTGCCCTCAGGCTCTGTGCTCAAGTCTGCACAGGCACGGCATCCACCCCATGAAACCCAGATGGCCAGGGAGCACTGGGAGAGGATTCAAGAAAACAGCAAATACATTAAATGCAATCTCTATCATGCTTGTGGTGTTCATTTCTTTTTCTGGTGGCGCAAAGGGAAAGCAGCACAGGGAAAAGAAGAAGAACTAATTCACACGGGGAGACTCATATACCAGGAGTTTAGGGGTTTTGTTTGGGGTTATTTTGTTAGGTTTTCAGTTTGTGAAGTTTCACAGCTCTGCTCTCTTTAAAACATGCTCTCCTCAGGTTTACAGTTAAACAACCAAATGAATGGGGCTGCAGCAGTCCATCCAACACGCAGCTAAGGCAAGAAACTTGTCTGAAGCCAAACATATGTACCCTGGAGGAAGCCACACTCAAACCTGCCCCCACAGCAGCACTTCATCTTCACACCTCCCCTTCTGCAGTAAGGGGCGCCCAGTTTCCCAGGCAGGTTTTGGGGGATTGTTTGGGGTTTTTGTTCATGTAAACAAGGAAAGACAGGCAACAGCTCTGCAGCCACCAATGCAGGGTCTTCTTCATGTAGCTGCCCCTCCATGAGATGGGAAGGAGTTTGCTCACAGTTGGGATCCACAAACCCTGTCTCAGGGCACTTTGCTGACTCAGCATGGCACTCAACAGTCCCGTTCCCGTGGGAACATCTGACATGCCCTTTGCAGGCAACTTTTTGCTTTGGCCCCTGCAAACTCCCGTTAGATGCAATAAAACGCTGCTGGACATACATGGCTAAGCATGAGAGGGCTGCGTGGGTAAGGAACAGGCACAACCCTGCTGTGGGTTCCTACAGCTCCTGCCAGACTGCAGGGTGGGAGCGTCTGCTCATTTTAATTGCCCCCAAATTGCTGTGTGAAGGAGGCATGTTCAGATTTAAACAGATGTAGTTTAAAGAATTAGCAACAGGAGCCTCATGGAGGAGGGGGTTTTCTTCTCTCTCAGGCGAGTGGGTGCTGATTTTTATAACATCTCCAACTCTTAAAACATGTAACTGTTTGGGCCAGAAAATAAGTTTACAAAGCCCTAAGGAGCCATGAGCTTGATTTCCCCATCCCCAGCTCCTTCTGCGCTACCTGTAAGTAAACCTAAACCTTTCAACAACACCTAAGTCCAATACATACCTTGAAGCAGCCCTGGGTACCCTTATCCCTGCAGCCTCCAACCTCCTTCTACCACAGCAGGGTCAATTCTGCAGGTCCAGCACTCAGCTCGTGTGGCTCCAAGGCAAGGCAATTCCAGGAGATAAGCCAACCAAAGTCTCAGGGAAGTGGTGACTGGGAAGGCTTGGCAAGTACCAGCACTGCCATGGAATGCCATTTGCTGGCTCCATTCAATGCTCCTCCTTGCAATGGAGGAGGTGGATGCTGATGAAGATGAAGCCATCTCCTCCGCTTCCCACAGCTCTCACTACCTTTGCCCACCTCTTGCAGGTAGACAGGGACTGTACTCTCCAAGGCAAGGGCTGTTTCTCTACTCTCTTGCCCAGCGTGCCAAGCAAGTGCTTTTCAGTTCTGTAGAACAACCACTACCTTTCCTGTTTCTTCTTATTCTTGGCACAAAGGATTTTGAATCACTTCCAACTGAGGTTAAAAGCATTTAAGAGTCTGTTTGCACAGTGCCTTTTTTTCAAGTGACCTCTAGTTATAACACACACTTCCCCCAGCATACACAAAAATACCCAGATGGCTCGTAGCTTAGAACTGCCCTCAGATTCCTAAGAAAAACCTCTAGAGTAAGTTTTTCTCTCCTTTGAATTTTACCTATTGCTTGGTTTTCAAACTTCAACTTCGTATTTGAAGTTATGGCACACATGCCCTGTCTTGGGTGGGGGAGAAACTAAGAACTAGACACAGCACAGTAATACGCACCACCTCATTTCCAAGGCAGAGCATCAAAATACTGCTTGCAAAACGTATTTTTATGATATAAAATTAGGCTCTCGATTAAACTTTATTAATTTTACCCATGGGAGTTTGTTAGCACAAGCCGAAGGAACTCCCAAGGGCTCTCACTAAAATCCTCTGCACTAAGCCTCGTCGTTTCTGCAGCTACAGAAAAGGGGGAAACGCGTATTTCAAAGCACCAGAGCCCAAATTCTGCAGACACATGCACCACAAAGTTTCCATTCATCCTTAGTCCCAAGGAACAACATGGATTTACTCACTGAAGTTTCCTACATGCACAACCCTGTTTGCAGAAGTGAGGTGCTCGAGCAGCGGCTCACGAACAAGATGTACAAATGGCTCCAAGCATGGGACTCTGCTTTACTGGATCCTGGCATCTCCCAAAAAAGAGAGCTTTCAGATTTAATTAAATTTTGCTATTTTATTTGTGAAAAAACTACAAGCAGAATTCATAAATAGACATTTCTATTTAAAGCAGGAAAATGATAAAGTGGCTTCTAATAACAGTCGTGCACATGCCAGTAACAGGAATATATTAACATCTTTTATTTGCTAGACAAAGAGCAGTGTCCAATATAAATTTCCCAAAAACATTTAAGACCTGTGAATTTCTGACCAGTTCACAAAACCACCATTGACACTTTAGCATGAAGATTAAAACAAACCTAACAGGACTGTCAGCTCTAAAGACTTTACAGAGCGGAAAAACTTTCAAGAGCGTTATACAAGCTGTCTTTCTGGGCAAATGAAAAATATAGCTCGTATAATACATTAACATAAAAATCCACAAGATAAGATTATGTTTTGACATACTTAAACAAGCATTCTATATTTGTCTCCAACAAACAAAGCTAAGGAAATAATGTAACCATCTTTACACAGTAAATTAAGGTTACAAGTCATACACAAGAACAGAACTGCTTGCGCATTAAAAACTGTTCAGCTCCATTGTCATACTCTAAATGTTGGCTCTTAAAACCGTTCGGTTACATACAAGCAAAGGTTATCATATAGTCAGCAATTAATAAATTTTCAATAATTTAAGTGTACGGTAGAGCTTAAAAAAGTAGACTGAGAATGATCTTGGTAAGGCAGGTGAAAACATCTCAGTGGAAATAAACTCACAGAACCTGCTGCCAATTGTTTTGATCTGTCCAATTTGAAACAAGCAAAGTGTTCCAATCAAAATAAATAGCCTGGTGGTGTAAAACGCTGTCCATTTTCCCTTTGCAGAACTACATCAAACTGAGCAAGTCAGGCAAGCTGTGTTGGTGTCTCTGTGTGTGTGTGTGTGTGTGTCTGTGTAAGAGTTGAAACTTTGCAAACGTAACACTGTGCTTTACTTACCTGCTTTCTGTGCCACTGAACACCACGAATCTGGTCCTTCCCCTATGCTAGTGTTTTGGTTGGTTTGGTTCTCAAGCACATCCCCCACCAACAGTGGGATGACCCAGAGGGAATCCTACCTATGGACACGTGCCGTCAGGATGGTAATTTCAGGAATGAAGCGTAAAAGCAAACACTACCTGTCAAATCCACAACACAAGAGCTACGGATGAGGCTGGGGAGGTTCAATGCTTAGCTAGCAATTTCTACTGAATGCAGAATTACAGGTCACTTGTTCCGAAGAAATTTTCCCACTTATTTATAATAAGCTACTTTATCAAGGAGGCACACCCAAACAGACAGATGTTACCGACTTTACCAATAGCCATGAGTAGCTGGTTACGGCGTTAAAGCTTTCTCAACTGATCTACAGGTCCATTTTCACTTGAAAAAGAAGCCATTTCCTGGTACACACAACGCTTTATTTTGTTTTTGCACGAAATCCCAGATTCAGTGAAGAAGGCGAGCTCATGGTTTGACTTAAGCACCAGAATTAGCCCCGCCTGAAGCCAGAGGGACTCACCACTGGCTCACACTCTTCGCTGGATCACGGGCGAGATGCACGCAAGCCTAATTGATAATGGATCATTTATAAAGCAGTGCAAAATATACAAGTTCAGGGGCATCTTCAAAAAATCTCTCTTAAAAAATTATTCCAATACATTTCAGTAAAATAAATAAATATGGCTGACCAGTTTACCCTCCCTGAGACCCTTAAAGGAATAGTAAAAACTGGAAAAGGAATGTCTTTGCAATATCCCACTAATGTTAAATTGTGGATTGAGAAAAGTCATAGTATTTAAAACTATGTATAATAAATTGTCTTGATGCTCATAGGAAGCATCTGGTTTCCTTTGGTTCTTTTAATACTTTAAAAATGCTTAAAAAGGTAAAGACAGCCTATACTGTGAATATAAGCAAAATTAAGTTGGAGTGCCCATGTTAAAGTTTCAGAGTAAAACCACTGCTGCAAAGGCACTGCCACTGCACATACCTTGGAGCTGGGGTTGTAACAGATCCCTACTCACACATTTCTGTCGCCAGTGTGAAAGGAACCTATGTCTGCTACTCAAATCAGCTGCCTCCACAAAGAGAAATTACTCATCAAGCAAATAATTCACAATATAACAAGCTGGCACAAAGTTGTCGAAATGTGGCCCTCTTTCACCATGCCCAAAAGTTATGCATTTGATGTTAAATGAAGCCATAGCCTCTGCACCTGAAATTACTGCAAAGCACCCTGGGGCCACTAAAGAAAGATGAAAAGCCGAAAAGGTTTGGGATTTGTTGTTTTGTTTCACCTCTTCAGCCTAGTGTTTTAGCAGGATAATGCATGGAAGGTAAACTGTAAAGCAACATTAACAGCCCAAGAAAAGAAATTACAGTCTGAATAGCTTTAGAGCAAGAATGAAGGAGATGCTGGTAATGAGCACAAGCCACACGTGTCACTCATTTGCCAGCATGAAGGTTTTTCCCTACTTTTGCTCCCATCACAGGAGACTGAGAAGTGTCCAAATGCTGACAAGCCCAGCATCATCACTGGAGGAGGTTCTGTTCAGAAACCACTCTTGGAATAGAGATGGATTTCAAGAAGAGCCACCCCAACAGCACAGATGGGACAGACAAGGACTGACCCACATGCTGCGGGCTGGAATGAGCACCAGCTTGCTCCCTCAACCTGCAATCACTCCCAGCCCTACAGCTCCCTGCTGCCTTCTAACCCAAAGCAAACCACTCCAGTTCTAAAGTTATCTTGGTCACTGATGCAGATGGACTAAATTATTAAATCTAAGAACACCAAACATCTGTGGGATTGGCTATGCACAAGAGTGATACTCACGTTACTAAAACAATGACTCTGTGCCATGCCAACACCAGTCTGGTTGTGAACGCTTACACTCCAGCCGGACATGAACTTGCACATCACCAAATCTGAATTACCCTCAGGGAAATACAAGCTACCTGGAGTAACTGTTTCTCATTTCAGATCCCAAGCTATAAAAATCAAAACCGCGTGTCCAGTACGTTTTAGACATTGCTTACGGGAGAAACGGGGAAGGAACAATAGAGAATAGGTCCCATCCAGATTCAAACCTTCAGGAATGCTTTTCACCTAAGACCAGTTCTGTTTCAGTTTCAGTACTTTCACAGAAGGGGACTGTCCCAGATCTTGAACTGTTCAAAAATGATTTTTTTTCACTTCACAGTGTTTCAAGCACCAGCGTTTCCATGTATTGGTTTCAAATAACCCTTTATATATATTTATTTATATATATATTTATATATAATTTATATCAAAACTGATAGTACACAGTATAACTGGAAGAAGAACTGAACTTAAAAAGGATATGTTGAAAGAGGATGGAGTTTGTGAATGCAATAAATAAAGCCCCCTTCCCTCCCCACCCGCTCCCTACCCCAAAACAAAAAGTTGTAATGTTCATGGAAAATTGTGCACAGCAGATATTATAAAAAAGTAGATTCAGGAGCACATCCAATTATAAATGATTGTTAGGAAAATCATATAAAACAATGGAATACATAAAAGTGTCAAGAGTAATCGTCAGGGTGAGAAATTCCGTGGTGGCCAGATGCCCACGGCAAGCAGAAGTTATCCTGGTTGCATCAGTAAGAGGTCGATGTCCAAGAGTGTGTGTTCAAGCACAGAAGAGGCTCTCCAGGATCTGAACAGCATGGGCAGGTGGAGTGTTTGAATTTCATACCCTGAATTCATAGTTTCCACAACTGCATGTGCAATTTTCAGAAAGATTCGTCGTTGACTGCTGACATGTCCCCCTTTGGCGTGGAGGAACGGGACGAGCCCTTGTCTGTGCTCTCAGAGCCCGAGCTGCTCTGATTCTGTTGTTCTGATCCTGCACTGGAGGTCACTGTAGAAGACGACGTGGAAGAAGAGCGAGTCTTTTCTTTAAAGTCTGTGATAATTACTGTGACATTCCCCACTGTGACTGCCAGCTGCTGTGCGGTACTTCTGTCCACGTTTTTCAGTCTGGGTCTAAAAGAAATGAGAAAACATTTATAAAACGGGTAAAAATAAGCGAGAAGGGAAAAGTTTATTAGGAAAAGGATTTGACAACAAACTCCATGTGACTTTCCCTACGCTTGCCTGCACAGATGGCAGTAACAGGGAGAGCCCAGGCAGCAGTGAATGCTGCACAGCAGAAGATGAAGGTTTGACCTGCTTCCCTGTGATAGCATGGGCCACGAGGGCTGCAGCAGCATGCTCAGCCTCAGAGGAAAGACCTGTCTTGCAAAGGGTGTCTGCTGTGGACTTATTCCTAATCCAAGTCTGCCAGAAAGGAGGACACTACAGCAGAGCCAAGCGGCCAGGAGCCAGACAGACCGAAAGATCTTCTCCCCAAGGGGCAGATGAAAGCATTCTCTTATCTAAATTCACCATCTCATCATGTGCCCTGATGTTATGAGACAAGGCTGTGACTGTGCAATACAAAACCACATGAAAGCATTTGACCACGGTTCTTTCATTCCCATATTGGAACTCTGCAGCTGCAAACAACACAGGCACTAGGACAACTTGGCTTCTCTTTCAACTGCTCTGAGCTTATACAAATCAGATGCCCAATCAGCCTATGTATAAAATTGCTCTAAATGTTCCCTCTGGAACTGAGGCTATTGTAAATAAAATGCGGAATGTGCAACAGTGTTTCTTGCAGCTAGCATTTTTGGTTAGGAGAAAGGATGGGGGGATCAAAGCCACCAGAACACACCACACTGGTATTTATTACTCAAGATTATCTCTGTAATTTGCATGCTGTGCTATCATTCAATTAGTAATGCAGCTAATAAGGGCCTAGACTCTAGGAAGCTGACAGTCACGCACATTTCAGAGGCTGGTCCAAAGCTTTAACACAACAGATCTTGGACACTCCTCCAGCTACCACAGAATTCCAAGTCAGCTGCAGCAACTGCTGCAATTTACAGCTTTTGCTCCTAATTAAAGGTCAGGCTGAAGCAGTGGAATATTCCCAAAAGGGAAATTAAAATGGAGAGTCTTTATACATCACTGAGAAGTAGCTTGCTGAGAACTGCCTTATTCCAAGGGATGGAGGGAAGGTTAGTTTACTTTGGGATCAAGCTCCAGCTTTTAAACCACTCTGCCTTTCCTCCTCCTTGTCTGCAGCACATTAGGCTAGTGCGGTCAAAGCAAAAAAAGAAGAGGAAATTTGGCAAACTTGGTATTCGCCATGCACACCCAACAGCCTGCAGGGGTAAGCTAACAAGCGGGAAGTCCTTAAGTAGTCACTATCCAAGTGGTACTCTAGAACTAGACAGAATAAAGTATTAAGACTGGATGTACGGCTTCAAAAATAGAACAACTGCATTTCTGCAAACTTCCTTACCAAAAATGACGTTACTGCACCACAAACAGTATTTGCATACCTAGGTTAGGAGGCTGGCTCAATTTTCAACAAGTACTACAGGAAAAGCCTTTCGAATAGATAGAAAATACAATTCAAATAATCACTGCACTGGGGTATCTGTCAGTAAAACCTCCTACTTGAAAAAGCCCCTTGGTTGAGTGCCTTTTCAAACCCACAGCTGAGCTTAGTGAATTCCCGCAGCAGTGAGACACACACGCCCACATGTATGCATTGTGCATATGCACTTGCAGGTGCTGGCAAACTCTACACATAACCACAGGCTAGATGAAATGATGTCACCTTGTTTGTGGGTAACAAGAAAGGCCAGATAGATCAGCATGTTTTGGGGTTTCCGTCAGCTTTCAGATAGCGTCTCTGCAGACGCAGGCTGCCCCCAAAGCGTCGGTAGCAAATACAGCAGCAAGTGTTCCCGGAAGCGTAGTACGCATACGTATTTTCCTCCCTAAGCCCCAAGTTCCTCTAGGAAACCCAGTTCTTCCTGTAATTTGCCTGGGTCACTTGTTTTCTCTTAAACTCAGAAACAGTAAAACAAAATGCTGGCCCAGATACTGGAACAGACCTTTCTTCCTCCACCTTTCTACAGGGATGAACAGGCACATGGACTGCTACTGCTTGTCAAAACCCAGTGCCAATAGTGGTATTCAGGGAACAAAAAAAGGAGGAATAAAAGGAGTTCATATGGCCTAAGCTGCATTCTGCACAGAAAAGCTCCTGCTACCAGCAGCCTTTGAGATAAGCCATGCACCAAGCACCTGAATGAAACTGCCCATGCATCTTTAAAGGCTAAGACAAAGTAACATGAAAGGACTCTGTGGAAGCAGGGCTGAGGTGCAGTCCTGCTCACGAACATATTTTCAATGTCAGTTTTAGAACTGAGCTCTCGAACCATTGCTGCAGCCAGTTTTAGGGGTCTCCCCTGTGCAAAGAGCTGATGAAGCACAGATGGAAACCTACAGTCTCTTCAGCACATGCATACAATTTTAGTTTCCTATAGAAGGCAAAGAGATGGCCCCATTCACATTATTCTGCAATATTAAACACCCTGATGCTTTACATTTATAGCTAAAAGGGTTTATGGCCAAATAAGAAAGGTGTTTCAAAATCACGAATGTGAAAGTGCACAAGAAGTCATGGAACAGACCAAGATTTTTGTCAGAAACAATCCCAAAAGTTCAAAAAGGATTTCTTAAAAATCCAGGGATCCTTAAAAGCCCATTTAAAAAAAACAGTTAAGAAATCTGGACATGAAAAAAATCTGAACATATAAGTTGTATAAAAACCAGATCCTTTAAAAAGACAGCACTTCTGAGGGCAGTGAACTGCAAGAAAGGTTCCACTAAACTGAATGCTTAAAAAGACTGTTTAACAACAAAAGGAGATGATGTATCCCTTAAAAACATCCAGCTAGACGTGATATTATTAAGGATTAATTAGGAATGACAGAAGCTTGCTACAAAGCATGGACTATAAGACTCTGCAGTAGACAGAGTGACTCCTTCAAGGAGTAAAAACAATTATTTGTTGTAATCTATCAATCTGATATTATGTCACCAGTCAAGTACATCAAGTCTCCTACATCTTAAGACTGAAAATAAGTACCATTCCAAAAAGAACGGGAAAAATAAATCCCTGCAATAAAGCCGTATTTCTCTAATCAAATGAGGAATGGACACTTTGATCTTTGGGGGCTGAGGAAGAGTTAACAGCAGTCCCTGCAAACAGCTCAGTCTTCTAGCAGAGCAAATCTCACATGCCCTCACTACATTCAAGTCAGTTACTGTGTAAAGGATATTCACTCTTATTAAAGATTTTCATGCTATTATTTAAAAACTTCCAGGACAACAGTTTTCTGCAGTCATGTCTTGCCAACCTTAATGCTAACAGCAGCATGAACCGTATTTCCCATGTGCTTTACAACTGTCTGCAGCTAATACTGCTTCAGTTCATGTGGCTTCACTGTAAAATACTTATTACAGCATGTTTTAAAAAGAGATGCAATTCTTCTATAGCCCACATAGGCAATGTGCCCTGTTGAATTCTGCCTCTTATAGCTCTCCAAGTTCAATAATATAAAAACTGCTCTTTGATGCTGAATTTTTGATTTAAGAAATAAAGCACAAGGCGCCACTTAAAGAAAACAAGCATGGAGTACTGGTACAGGAAAGACTATGAAGAAACCTTTCTCCACAGACAGCTACTCATTTTCAACCTAGGTAAATACAAAACCAACCATTCACGCTTTTTGTTGGTACCAAGATTCGAGCAAAGCTGTTTATGCAGGTTTTTAATCCAATATTACTTGGAAAATTAACAATTACAGTGACTGAATTACAGATAAAGAAGTTAAAAAGTGACCTTCGTTACTGCTGTCAAGTGATGATAAGAATTTGTTACAGACCACTACAAATGCCGGTTAATGTTTTTCCAGTCACTGTGTTTTACACCAAAAGCATTACCACCCAATTGAGAATATGATTACTATAGCAGAGAAATGAAAACTGAGTGGACGACAGAGTAAATATTTCCAGTGCCTGAATCTGTCCTCACCAGAGTGTCTGAGTGCTTGTACACTGAGAAGGCTCATAGCCACTGATGGTCCTGCCATACTAAACCAATGCCTTGTGGGTTAGATGGTACTCTGCTCATGAAAAAAAACAAACAAAACCACAGTGTTTGCTATTTAACACAGCTGTCAAATACCAAGAGCTTAACTATAGTATAAAGTTACCTTGAAGTGTGATTTGAGTCGCTGGTCTTTGTTGTAGTATTCCCAGACTGTATGCTGTTTGCTTCGCTAGGAGGATCTTTCACAATGTCTGACTTTGGTCTGTAAAATTGGAAGGAAGACGGAGAGTATGATGTTAGTTGTACTACATGATTAATCAATGCACAATGCTACTGAAACCACACCATGTTTAATAGGGTACCCTTCAAACTTACTTAGTCTTCTTGTTAGCGTTCTTCTTTGTAACACTTGGACTAATTTCCTTCTCTTTGTCAGGTTTTTCTTTGTCTTGTTTTTCCACTTTCTCCTTCTTCTCCTTCTTAGGTGGTGGTGGGGTTGCATATTGCTGGGCAACTTGTTGTGCCACCAACTGAGAGTTTATTCTAGGTTTTCTATAATGACAATAAGAAGAGATCTATAGTCAGTTTTACACAATAAAAATCACTTCACCAAGAGCAGTATGAAGATTTATTTAGGCAACCAGGGAAGAACACTTGACTTAAAGAACCAAATGGATGCTCTTATTTAATGTGAAACACTACTGCTGCTACCAAACATGATACAAATTTTAATATTAAGAAACACTCCAAACTGCTGTTTCACATCCGTTTTTGGCCTCCTTAAACATTCTTAAGTGTCCATTCTTCCGTCTGTCACGAAATCACAGCCAACTGTGGGGGGACAACACTGAAAAGGTAGCTTTCAAGAAGTTTGACAGCTGCATGCTGTGGGTACACTTCAAGAGGAGAACAGAGAGTGATAAAAGTAAGCTTCCCAATAAACATCAGTCTCCTTCATATTTTCAATTTAATTTTCCAAATGAGCTTCTGGTTACCCAACGCAGCCAACCTTGCACAAATAACAGAGCAAAAGAAGGTAACTGAGAGGACTTTGTCCCAAGGACCATGACAGAAGCTCCCTGACAGGAGGACAGAAGACAAGTCGGCATTCATAGTTCCATGGGGCAACAGCCGTGCCAGGCTCCGACATACCATCTTTACACTATTGTCTGCAGTCCCCAATGGTGTTCGGACAAAATACACACGCAAACTGTTTTTCAAAGACTATTTCCATTTCAAATTATGATTTACACAAAAAAGTAGCCTTGCAAGCAACCAATAGCTTGGTTATTGGTCTTCACATGTCTTGTCGAAATTGGTACCTTCATCCCTCCTGCATTCCTCATCCAAACTCTAACATCCTCTCAGTGTAACAGCTTAAGACCTCTCTCTCCTGGCCTGGCATATCACAAAGCCGTTTATACTTTGAACACTCAGACTACTTGTGATCGATCCAATCTCTTTAACATGACAGAAAGATCTATGCTCCCTATGTCCACACAGCTTGCGGGGGTGGGGGGGAATAGGTTACTGACTCCATTAGTCGCCCATTATGAGCTGAATACTAATTGCAATAGTTGTTTAAGCACATCCATAGCCTTTATCTTGGTCATAAATACGATTCAAGTATTTCATATCAGCCTACAACAGATTGCCAAGGAAAACAGTACACAAGTATCATTAAGTCACAGCTGGCACACAGAAACCCAGAGCTCTGTACATGCATCCACTTTTTACTAGAAACATCTAGAGACACTTTAATAAGCTACTTAGTGAATTCATATGCTAAAGAAAAAAAAGTGCAAAATATTATTTGCTCATATCTGCATTCAGAGATGATACAGACAATGGAACACCCAGAGAAGTTCTACTCCCTGTCACAGGAAAATCCAAGTATCCAGTAAACCTCTTGACACTGGTTTTCTGTATAATGGTAGCAAGATGTTTTTACTGAAGCCAGATATACCCAAATATTTAATTTCATTTCAGAACCACAGCTTATTATAAACTATACAACAGGTTGTAGTCAGGCCTGTGACCTGTCTCAATACCACTGGCACTTGGATTTTTCACCCGACACAAACTATAACTCATTTTATGCTACACGCTGCATTCATTTCTGAGCAAAGATTATCTGATCTTCAGCCTTAAGTAACTATGATGCTGAAACGTTTTGCAGATCTTATCAAGCAGTTACCTGTTCCACAGAACAGAGAGGATATTCAGCATCCTTGCATTTGAAGTCCCATATATAGCAATTTCTGTCTGTAAGACTGAGAATAAACACGTCAAAAGAAGTGTTTTGGTTACATGTTAAAGACTTTCAGATTGATGCAACCACACCAAAAGCTGACAACAGTAGCTTGTGTCAAGCAACCTGCTAACCAACTACTCAAAAAAGAAGGGAAAAAAAAAAAGGGAAAAAGAAGAGATAAAGTATCAAGAAATCTTCAAAGAGAGGGCAGATACCATCTCCCTGCATGATTATACATGATTAACCTCACTGCTTGAAGCTGCCACTTCTGCTCAGAGTTAGTTATTTGCTGTTTACACAGCCAGCTAAGCCAGAAACTCGAGCCATTCATGGGAAATCCCACTTCAAGAATTTGAGAGCACCTTCAAAGTTTTTCTGCTTTGCACAACTGATGTGCCTGCTTGCGATGTTATTCCTAAGGCTTACATCCAACCTCCGCAGTGACAGAGCCGCTGCTCCTGCTGAAGGAGTGCTGCACTGCTTGAGTGAAGATACAAATTTTAAAATGGAAACTTCAACTAAGATAAACAAATAATAAAAAATACATAAATAAATCACACTGCATTTCCCCAGAGAAGGCTGGAATCCAAAAAAGACCAGCCCTGAAGTGCTCCTGCAGAGACACTCTGCCCCATGCTCTTCCGCTCCTTATTTGTGACAGCACAGTACATTTATTAAGTTTTATCACATTCTGGCCAGCCACTGACATAACTAGCACAACTTCTCCAAACCCCATTATTTACATATTCCTGCTTACATGCCAGGATGGCTCCCTGGTAAGGGCAAACCCCAAACTGAAAGGGAAGAGAGCATGCAGTAGCATGCACAGAGAAGGGACCTGCAGGAAGGGGCACCAGGCCTGCTGATGAGGTTTCTCCTGCCACACCAAGGAAGGAAGCAGAAAGGTGCTGAGACTCCTGTCAACACCAAGCATGTTTGAACATCTACTAGAACAGTTTTATTTATTTATTTTAAGTAATGCAAATAACCCATTCACTTTCCAATTCCTAATTTGGCCATTTCACACACTAGCAGCAAGGCTATGAAGGTTAAAAAACAGGTAGGTTAAGCAACTGGCATACTAATAGTAATAATTATAGGAGCAACAAAATCCTTCAAATAAGGCACACACTGACACTACAGCCAAAATACACTGGTTACAAACCCTTTACAAAAAAGCCAAGCAAAGCAAGTAGAGCAGTACATTTTTAACCAAAGCAAACTATAACCATAGTAACCATAATCAAGTGATGTAGCAGCAATATCACAAAACTTGCTCCCAGTTTCCGTGCCTACCGAAAAAAAACAAGGGCAAACACTGATCTAACCCAATACCCCTATCAAAGACCACAGAATTACAGTACGGTTTGGGTTGGAAGGGACCTTACAGATCATCCAGCTCCAACCCCCTGCCACAGGCAGACACCCTTCGATAGACCAAGTTGCTCCAAGCCCCATCCAACCTGGCCTTGCACACTGCCACGGATGGGGCAGCCACAGCTTCTCTGGGCACCTTGTGCCACTGCCTCAGCACCCTCACAGGGAAGAAAGAGCTCCCTAATACCTAACTTAAATCTCCCCTCTCTCAGGTTAAAGCCATTCCCCTCTTTTTCCTATCATTATGTGCTCTTGCAGATCATTCTTCCAGACACCATTCCTGCCTCTACAGCAATCTGTACCATATCCTAGTGACTCTGTTTGTCAAAGCAGCCACCCTCCTCCTGTGTGTTGTGAGCTCTGCTCCAGCCGTGGCAGCAGGTAGCCTGTATTGCCTTTTAGCAATAAAGAAAAAAGTAAAATCACTGATACTTTGCAGTGGATACTAGTCATTTTTCCCTGCAGAATCTGAACATGGAACAAGAAAGAAGTATCAGTGGAAATAAACAAGACTCATTCTCAGTTGGGCTACAATTCAACATGCTCTGGCTTCTACTGCAGAATTCAGAGTCAAAAACTGAACAGAAAGTTTAAAGCATTTCTGTATTTTTACTGTAAGAATAAACAGCTGCAGAAACAAGTATTAACCATGTTTCATCCCTAGATCGGCTCATCAGCTTGCCTTCCGTGACATTAAATGGCTCATGCAAAGAATACATCTAAATGAGAAAAATCAAACCCCAACTCAGCCTGTTCCAAACTTTCTAAACCAGTATTTGCACTGAAGAAGTATACTGTCATTTAGTAGAAGGTTTGAAGTATCAACATTACACAAAAACCTCAGCTAACAAGTCTCAACTTCCAAAAAAATACCTGAAGAGTTGCAATACTTAGTACTACATTTGGTTCTTGTATTCCTAAGCAGATCCCAAATGCTTGAGCAAGTATCTGAGGTAAGTAATGTTCCTTCAGGTAGAAGATGAAGTTGTGTTTTGATCGGACAATCTTCCCCTGATTTAAGCAACAGTTCGAGTAAAGACTCAACCATTATGACCCAACACTAACGTGACAAATACATGAACATTATCTTCTTTATTTTTTCCAACCCCTTTAAAACTAAGAGCAATTAAACTGATTTAAACTGTGCTTTCGAAGTTACCTTCAGCCAGATAAACTGTTTCACACTAGTTAAACATAGTTTACATCACAGAAGCAGATACTTGCACAACGATTCACAACCTCTGCAGCAAGGACATACTAAGGCACAAAGAGCTGAAATACATTGTCTATTCTGAGCATAGCTGTGGCACACTGGTATTTACCATCAACTATCATAAATGATGCACACAAATATTCTTTACTATCTTTCAGTAACAGACCTGCACAGAAATATAATGCCTGAAAATACCATACCCTCAGATAGTAATATGAAGCAACACTGGGACGTTTGGCTCATAGGAAGTGAAACAAATGCAAGCCTTTTCCCGAAGGGCTCACTGCCCATGTTACTGTGCTCTTGAAATGAAAAAAATGATAATTAAAAACCAAAACCCCAAAAAGCAACAACAAAAACACAACTGTAGTTTAAAGGTTCTGGCAAGCATCCCACAGTGTTTTACTACTTGCATTTCTTTCTATCTCAAAGCTTTCTTCAAAGCCGCTTTCGGGACCAATTCCAGAGCACTGCTGCCCAGGAATTCTGCTGCTCCAGTCGTAACCCCTGCAAGTGGGCTTAGGAGCAGAGCAGCACAAATCACCGCACAACCAACACACGGCAGTTACTCAGACCTGGATTTCAACAGGGATATAGGAGGATAAGTTGCACCATATTTTTATATGACACTAATTTCTGTATACGTTTGGGATTTCCCTGGTCCTGCTGCCTTGAGAAAAGGCAAACAACCCACCTCCTGTGGACACA